GTTAATTAACTAATTAACAAGTATAATGAAAAATGTAACAAGAATGCTAATTAACTAATTAACTAGTATAATGAAAAATGTAACAAGAATGCTAATTAACTAATTAACTAGTATAATGAAAAATGTAACAAGAATGCTATTTAACTAATTAACTAGTATAATACTAGTTATAGTAACTAATATATAATATAATGTTTATAGTATATAATATATAAGTATACTACTATAAGATGAGTAATACACTTATATTTTATACTTTAATATATAAACTATATATTAAGTAGATGTAGAATGTATGTATTAAGTGGATATAATAACTGTATAAGAATTAAATATTAGAGTATAATGGAGAATTGGAGATTGGAGAATAAGAAAATAAGTATATATGAAATATAAGTAGAGAAATAGATATTATTATGTATTAAGTATATAGTAATAGTTTATAAAGTATATTTAATACTTTAATATATAAAGTATATATTAAGTAGATGTAGTATGTATGTATGTATTAGAGATATAAGTAGAGATTAAGTAGATAAGAAATATAAGTAATATAGTATATGTATTTATAAGTAGATAATTAATATATAAGTAGATATAATAATTGTATAAGTATTAAATAGTAAAATAAAATATAATGGAGAATAAGAGAATTTGAGAAGATGAATATGGAGATGAGTAGAGAGTAGAGAGTAGGATTTAGGAAGAGTTGGAGAAGAGGTGTGAAAAAATGTTTAAAATTAGGAGTATTTATAGTTTTTTTTAACCCCCACCCCCCCCACCCCCCCACCCCACCCCCACCCCCCAAAGACCCCGGACCCCCCCTGATACCCACCCAACGGCTATATAGCCGTTTGGGAAGTGGGTCAAGTGGGCAAAATGCGTTTTTAATTTAAAAGGATTTTTTCAAAAAAAACAGGACCGTTAGGCCCGGGGCCGGGCCGCCAAAAACAACACCCGAGCCCGGACCCGCCACCCCCCACCAGTTCGGTGCCCGAACCGGATCCGGACCCGAGAACCGGGCCGGTTCCGGACCCGAGAACCGGTTCCGGACCCGAGAACCGGGCCGGTTCCGGGCCCGCACAGTAACGGGCCGGGCCGGTCTCGGGCCGGGCGGCCCGAACCGGGTCCACCACTACTTTCACCAAATTCATTCCTACACTATTCTTAATTCTCAATTGCAAGGAGAGATACAATTGGAGTGTGTGATTTGAAACACTCCTAGATTTAGCTAATGTAGCTAAATTTGATTCTATATCAATAGATCCAATCCGGAAAATAGAAGAAAAAAAAAGATCCTCAAATATCAACATGTGAAGTGATATAAAGCTCGCTATTAATAAAGGGATACATATTAGCCATGTTTGTCTTCATATGACATTAAATGTATACTTAAAGCTAACTCCTGAAATTTATTCAGTAAATCAAGTTTATTCATTTAATTGTTATTTGTTAATAAAAGTGAGTATGCATTTGAAATGAATGCATATGTACCTTTGGATGCTAAGGTTATTGAATTCACATACTTGTAACTTTTCATTAGTCATGGACCCGGTTCGAGCCGCCCGGCCCGCTACTGTGCGGGCCCGGAACCGGCCCGGTTGTCGGGTCTGGGGCCGGTTCGGGCACCGAACCGGGGGGGTGGGGGGGTGGGGTCCGGGCTCGGGGCTTGTTTTTGGCGGCCCGGCCGGCCGGGTCGGGCCCGAGTCCGGGCCTAACGGCCACATTATTTTTTTTTTTCATTTCTTTTTTAAAACCTCTTTTGGGTGTTGACCCACTTCCCAAATGGCTATATAGCTATTGGGTGGGTACCGGGGGGTCCGGGGCTTTTGGGGGGGGTTGGGGTGGGGGTAAAAAAAACTATAAATACTCCTAATTTTAAACATTTTTTCACACCTCTTCTCCAACTCTTCCTAAATCCTACTCTCTACTCTCTACTCATCTCCATATTCATCTTCTCAAATTCTCTTATTCTCCATTATACTTTATTTTACTATTTAATACTTATACACTTATTATATCTACTTATATATTAATTATCTACTTATAAATACATATACTATATTACTTATATTTCTTATCTACTTAATCTCTACTTATTATCTACTTATATCTACTTAATACATACATACATATTACATCTACTTAATACTCCCTCCGTCCCTAAATGTTGTTCCAATTGCAGATTACGAAGGTTGACCGACGATAATTGACCGGCCCGGCCCGCTACTGTGCGGGCCAGGAACCGGCCCGGTTCTCGGGTCCGGGTCGGGCCTAGGCCCGGTGGGGTCCGGGCTCGGGCCTTGTATTTGGCGAACCGGCCCGGCCGGCCCGGGTCCAGGCCGAATTATTATTTTTTTTATTTTTTTTTCATTTTTGGGGTTAACCGGGTTGGGCTTGATGGTTAGGAGGGGTTTGGGGGGTTTGGGGGTGGGGGGTGGGGGGGGGGGTTAGGAAAGCAAAAAAAAAAATTGACCAAACCGGAGGCCCGGCCCGGCCCGGACCCGGACCGGACCCGGTGGCTACTTGGGCCTGTCACGGGCCTTCCTTCCCAAAAAAAAAAGCCCGGCCGGGCCTGGCCTGGAACCGGAACCGGCCCGGCCCGGGTCCATGACTAGTTGTAATGTAAGTTGAGTTAAAGGAAATGTAACCTTTTTTCTTACGCAAAAGGAAATGTAACCTAAAGCATATTGAAATGTAAATTGTGTTTAAGGACATGTAACTAAAAACCAATCAAAATGTAAGTTGTATAATACTCCATATCAAATATATGTATACATTGCAACAAACATTGCTCTTGAAGTCTTTAAATTTTGCCCACATATAAGCGCTCCACATCCAAATTTTTAATGTTTATTGCTCTTCCCAGAAAACATCAACACAACAGTTTGCAACATTCAAAAAGTCAGAAATGATGCATAGCCGCATATGGGAGACAATTTACTTCAAACGCCCTAATTACGACATTGGTGCAACCAATTTGGGCAGACGATTGCTCCAAAGCCGGATGAGAGGACATTCTTTTTCTTAAGAATTTCCGATGGAATCTCACTCCCTTATGTGATGGCCTGCGCAGTGGGGCGACGGCGGAACTTCTGGTCCGGAGATCTGGAGTATGGCGGAGCTCCATGGGAAAGGATTGGACTCTAACAATGTTCTTTTAGACTTAAGGATTGGACTCTAACAATGTTGTTAAGTAATATAAATCGACAGGAAGGATTTTGTAACGGAAATATATTAATTTTCACACGTTTTCAAAATCGTGTCAATGAGATTTACATTCCTTACATGTATATCCCTTTCTCAATCACCTTGGACATTTAGAGCATGTGTATGTTTTTCACAAAACATGTGACTTTTGATTTCGCCCGCTGAGTTGTGTATTAATAGAAAAAAGTACGGTTGAAGTTACTTTTAGTACTTTATTGGCTGAAGTTACTATAGATGATTATTTTAGCTATTTTTCATATAATTTTATCTTTATTTTATTAATAAATATATTTTAAATATAATTTTTTCATAAATCAGCACAATCAGCTAATCCGGTCACTTCAGCTAGAATTTCATAAATTTAAGCACACTCAGCTAATTCAGCCGATTTTGGTATCACGAAACAGGCTCTTAAACTTATGAGAAGACAAATTCTTAAAATTGACTCATACTCTATGACAATCAACAAATCTCAAGATTAGATACTAGATAAAGTTGAGGTAAATCTAATTATATTCGCTTTTAGTCATGCATAGTTGTGTGTGGCACTATCGAGAGTTCAACATAAACATGAATTGCAGTTTAATACATTCATAAGGAAGGGGCATTACACACTATCCCAAATGTTTTCCTTAAAGAAGTTTTTTTTTTTTTCAAAACCTTTAACAAGTGTAAGTTTAATGCTTTATTACATTTCATCGACAATACTAATTAATAAGTAGCAAATTCAATTGAAATGAATGGTGTCAATTAGCTTTATTGATGTATATTCTATACTTTTTATATTTATTGTATGGACTTATATTTTATGTTATTTAATTATTGTATTTTTATATATTTAAATGTAATTTTTTTAAATTCTATATTTTTCATATTTAATTAGATGCATCAAATGTTTTTTCCCGTGCGTATGCACGTGTACTATACTAGTAGCTCAAGAACAAAAGTTCTACATGTAGTCACTATTACAGGAAATAAAGCTCTACATATAATATATTCTATTTATGCAAATATGGACACATAAGTATAACTTATATTTATTTAAGATTATGCGAATATAGGGTAGTTTACATTTTATTATAATCGTGTAGAAATATCGAATTTTAGATGAATTTCTATTCTATACCGGCCTCTAAGTGTGGGTGAATGGAGTTTGAACCTTACACGTGACGGAATTAAAACATTAAATGTATGGAAATATTTAAGCATTTATTGCATTTAGTACAAACTTAGAGAAGACATTTGAATGTGAGGTTTTTGAAGAAATATTACTGAAATAAAACTTATTTACGAAAATATAATTAAAGTTACTATAAGTACTACTACCTCCGTCCCGCAAAGAAGTTCCCACTTTCCTTTTATGGATGTCCCAAAAAGAAGTTCTCATTTCTATAAAAGGAAATCACTTTTAACCAAAAAGTCACAACTATCCTTGCTTTTTACTCACTTTTTGCTTGATTTGACGCAAAGTAAGTGTATATTTGGAAATTCAAAACAAAACTCTACCTTATATAAATATGTGTGCAGGTCAAATTAGGAACTTCTTTGCGGGACGAAAGGAGTATGTCATAGTCACATAAGTATAAAAGTTGAACATCATTTACTATATCTTTTTTTAGGTCATCATTATATTGTTAATTACATTTTTATTTGACATAATATTCTGAGTCTTCTGACCGTACAATGCCGGGTGAATTTTTCTATAAAAAAAAAATCCTGGTTGTAACTGGGCCTTTTGAAGGTCTACTTAGTTGTTTGTAAATTAGACACACTAGCCCAGTGGGATTTTACTTTTGGACCTTTTGTTTATATACGCTTTTTTACTAGTCAGTGTCTTATGTGTAGATGAGCCAGTGTTGATTGGAGAGACCGGAAAATGGCGCCGAAATCAGAAAATCCGGCCTCCACTCCCGCAGCCGGCACCGCCGCCGCGGACTTCTCGATTGATCCAATTCTCCATATACTCAGGATCTTTCCATACTCCTTCCTTCGGTTACCTCGTCTGCGTCTGAAGCTGCCGACGGTGACTCTCCCCTCTGCCATGACCGTCTACAGCCTTATCCTCCTCACCTATTTCATGGTGGTGTCGGGGATCGTGTACGACGTCATCGTGGAGCCGCCCGGGATCGGATCCACACAGGACAGATTAACTGGATCCGTTCGACCCGTGGTGTTCATGACGGGCCGGGTCAACGGGCAATACATCATCGAAGGGCTGTCGTCTGGTTTCATGTTCGTCCTTGGCGGAATGGGGGTCGTGCTTCTGGATCTTGCCCTGGATCTCAAACGGGACAAAAGTATAAGGATTTCATTTGCATCCGCCGGAATCGCATCTGTGGTCATCGCCTACGTCATGAGTATGCTTTTCGTTCGCATTAAGATCCCATCTTATCTTCGCTGACCCTTGCTGCTGCTTTTGCTTGTTCTTCTCTTTGATTTATATGGTTCCTGTTTAATTTAACAACGCAGTGTTTTTGTTTGGTATGGCACAATTGAAAAGTGTTTGTGGAAGGAACCAAATACCGAGTAGAATGGTTGGTTTGATGCATTTTTCTATTTCTAAAGATTGAGAATCAGGTCACCGTCATCATTCCAATATATACTCATTTCCCTTAAAATTCGTGAATGCATCTCCCGTTTTTATTCATTCATTTGAACAGCAATGATATTGTTTGCATAGAAAAATTAGATGAAGGGTCAAAGGTAAAGTTTGCCTTAATTTCATTTTCCTCTACACATACATTAATGCATTTATTTTTTAAAAACCTTCGAATAAGTAATATCATCTTAATACTATTACCATAAGTGTGACCCAATTGATACATGAACTAATAATTTAACATGTAAGCAACGGTATCTCTATCTCGGTTACTTCACTTGCATGGGATCATTTTTAGCCTTTTCATTTCTTCTTCCCTTTCTTTTCCCCTTCTCTTCTACCTAGTTTTTGTCTGCCTCTCCAGTAACTTTGCATTTTGGAGAGAGAGAACCACACGAATAAATTTCGCTTCAGATTCAGGATTCAACCATCAAATTGAGAAATCGGGTTTGTCAATAATACTTTATTACAGAGTAGATGTTTGACTTAGGGGTGGGCACTGTAGCTTAACCGGATTTTGGTTAACCGAGATATCAGTTATTAAATTTTCATTACCATTACCTGTATCATAACATTGGTTAACCGAATATCGGTTAACCTAATTTCCGGTTAACCAATAAACCATAAAACCATGAAAGCAAAATATAAAGTTGCCAATATTCTAGTTGTTTTTAAATGTTAACCTATAAAAATCCCTATAAACCATATTCCAGTGGCTAGAAACTAAACATACGTCAAAACCAAATCACTAATCCTCCAATTGTTTACTGGAGAACCCCAACAAGAGGAGATGAAGAAACATATCCAAATATGTGAATTAATATAGTAAATACAGTAGATTACGCACAAAATTGCAAGCTGATTACGCAGAAAATTGCTAGCTATAACTCCCCAGTCCACATAATTTAACAAGCTGATTGCCCAGAATATTGCAAGCAACCTTTTCACCTTTTCGGAGTGAACCAGGAAGGTTGTGGAGTTAGTGGAGATGGATAACTTGGAGCTAAACTCATAAAGCTAGCAATTGGCTTGACTACCTGTCAGACAAACTCATCCCGGCCATTTGATGACTTTATTAGAAACTCCGTTTTGAGACTTCAAGAGCAAGATAGAAATTGTGTGCCCACAATCCTACTGATTAACTGATCTATTACTACGTATAATTTTAAAACCGTAACCGTACCATGAACCGTTTGTTCTTAACAGTCGGTTAACCGTACCGTGACTTTTTACAAATCCGGTACGATTAATTGAAAAATACACTGGTTTCTCGGTTTTTTTATTCTGTTTAGCAGTTACGGTATTTTGTGCCCACCCCTAATGTTTGTATAGTTTTTCAATTGTACGTAACTTTCTTGATGGAAAGCGCACAAATACATATCTACATGTCTCTTTTTTACTCGTATTTATTTACCCCTCGTTCCGTTCCATGCACTTTCAGTTACGGGTGGCAGCAGGTCGGATTTATACCGGGTGAAGGCTCATCCACGTCCACCCGTTAATTTTTCATATTCCACCCACCCGTCTATCATTCATTAAAAATTACATCCGCATCCAACCCATCTATCATGAGCGGATTATCGGGTGGATCGGGTGAGTAATGAGTGAATATAAATGGTCTAACTTGAAAGACAAAATAAATAAATTATAAATAGAAGTTATGACAAATAAAAACAAAAAAATAAAAATTCATTGAATAATAACAATAAAAACTTGAGCAATTAAGTGTATTACAATAATTAATTCACTGCCAAGTGCTAATAAAGAAAGAAGTGATTGTCTAACAAAATAGACATAAAACTTTTTCAAGCTGTCAAATTCTACATTTCTGCATCGGCACAAAACTATTTTTGCAGTTCAACTGCCACTTCTTGAAACTCTTAAATTGTCTTTATTTCACCAATTCATAGATATGTGTCTTCTTCATTAACAAATACATATCTATTACTCCGTAATATATTAATATTAATTATTATATATTATTAAATAGATGAGAATAATTCAGGTCCGGCCAGGCCGGACCACTGCCCCCGTCCGGCCTCCTCCATTTGGGGGCCTTCCCGATGGTATTTTTTGCTCAAATTTTTTGTGTAGGTTCCTAATCAAGTCTAGTTCATCCATACCAAATTTCAGCCAAAAAATCAATCGGGAAGGTCGTCAAATGATTTTTTCAAGTTAACTGGTCCGGAATATGTATTTTCCGGACCAGTTAACTTGCAAAAATCATTTGACGACCTTCCCGATTGAATTTTTGGCTGAAATTTGGTATGGATGAACTAGACTTCATGAGGAACCTACACAAAAAATTTGAGCAAAAAATACCACCGGGAAGGCCCCCAAATGGAGGAGGCCGGACGGGGCTCCGGTCAGGTATACCTGACCGGAAGAGTACTCTTAAATAGATATATAATATAATATAATATAATATAATATAATACAATACAATACAATACAATACAATACAATACAATACAATACAATACAATACAATACAATACAATACAATACAATACAATACAATACAATACAATACAATACAATACAATACAATACAATACAATACAATACAATACAATACAATACAATACAATACAATACAATACAATACAATACAATACAATACAATACAATACAATACAATACAATACAATACAATACAATACAATACAATACAATACAATACAATACAATACAATACAATACAATACAATACAATACAATACAATACAATACAATACAATACAATACAATACAATACAATACAATATAATATATATTTAATTTTATATGCGGGTTAGCGGGTGGGTGGATGAAGCGGGTGACGGGTCGGGTGATGGATTGGATGAGTGAACATCCACACCCGATCCAACCCGTCGTTCAATCCACCCGTCATCCAATTTTCACCCATACTTTTTCAGGTTTTCGTCCATATTTTTCGGTTCGGGTTGAACGGATATCCGCGGGTGCGGGTGATATTGCCGGCCCTACTTTCAGTTTTAGGTTGTCCCGAAGAATAGGAAAAATTCATACGATTAATTTCAACTATTGACGTTCTTATAATATTAAATCCCAAATATGCGTAATTTCAGAATAATATGTAGTACGAATTTTATATGTTGTCTTCTCATATTGATCCTAGTTGACCTGATACTAAACCGTTAAAAAAAGGAAACAATGGCCTAAATATTATTCTCCAACTTTCATTAGACCAAAATGTGAATCAATTAGGAATTCACAAAAAAGTGACCAACAATTAAATCTCAGGCTCTTATTCCGCTCATCTGCGCTCAAACACAAGAGTCGGGTCGTCTTTCCATCTTCCCAAGTATGGAGCAAATCGACGGGGCCATCGTCGCTACCTTTACCATCACTGCTGCTGTCTCCCTCCGCGGATAGAAGAGATGATCGTCTCCGCCACCCTAATCCTCACCCCTGCCTCTCCTTACACCTTTTTCCTTTTCTTCTAGTTCTATCAGGCGGCGACGAATGAGCTCCACCTTCTCCTTGATTCGTTGCCTAGGCTTTCGATTGCTCCACCTTCTACCTAGGCTTACGTGTTAAATTTAAGTGTTTACTACTAATGTATTAGCAATTTGGTCTCGTAAACTCATCTTTGTATGCTTTGTGCCCGCATTATGCTCCATTTATTTCTTCTTTACTTCCTTGACCTTCTACTTCTCCTCCTTCATTGTTGAATATTGTCTCATCTTTCAATGGTTCAAATAGGTCATATTGAATGTTGTAGGGATTCTTATAAAAATATGTACAACAAAACAACTAAACAAGCAATCACCACGTTTCTTTGAACCGAAAATGGATAAAGGGCCATCTTGTTTTGACCATGTTCACGTTTCTCCAACTTATCTTAGACCTTTTTTGTATGTACGATTGGGCACGGTTCTCCGTACCTAAAGAATGAGATAAGTAAATTGCAATAACTCAAAAAAACATACTAAACGGAATGGTTTCTGTATACTTGTTCAGTTGGTGTAGAAAAATTGTGAAGATTTATGTACAAAAAGTAAAGATAAATTGTGAAACAAAAGCAAAGTAATTTGCTATATCTAGACATATCAGATCTGTCTTCTATCTATATGAAAAAATAGTGCAAATGCAACAGTAAAACTACTGCTATTAAAGATATGATACATCGCTAAGAGATATGATAGCTTTAACACCCTTGCTTCCGACCTCCACAATTACAAGCCGCCTCACACCTGGCTTTGATAATTTGTCCATGATGGAGCGGATCACAACATTCCTCTCCAAGTTGCAGTGACTGATGAATTGCATGTCATTTCATCAATATTGATATGTGTATAGATTTTCACCCCAAAATGGCTGCAACCCAACTAAAAATATGTATGCCAAGGTCTCAAAGTCAATTAGGAAAACTCATGGGAGGTATAGGTGATACCCCTATTGACAGAAGAAAGAGACGGGAATGAGGACTGACGCATAGGAAAGATGATGCGTGAATGGAAGAATTTCTTGGGACCCAACTAAAATAAAAATCCCATGGGAAAACTGTCAAATAACTTTAAAGTGTCATAACTTTTGTATGAGAACTTCAATTTTTATAAAAAAATATATAAAAATTAAGAATTTTTTATTCTCTTTCATTCGAAATCAATATCACATATATAAATTAAAAAGAAAAATTCAAATTTCACTGCTGGAGATTGTCAAACCCAATTTTTTCTCTTAAACAAATCTATGTGCTAAAATTAAGATGAGAAATTGCCCAATATAGGAGTAAACATAAACATAATTGCAAAAATAGGAGTAAAACTTAAAACTTCCTTCAATAGGAGTAAACATTAATTTTGTACCCTTAATATCTCTAACCTAGTTAATTATAAAATATGACTTATTTGATCCTATTAAAAAAAATCTAAGTTCATTCACTGGAAACGATACCTTTATGCAGGCCTTTTAATTTTAAAAATAACCTAAGTTCATCCCAACAATATTGAAATATTAAAAATTAAAAAAATTATTTTTTTAAAATTAAAAAATTTAAAAATAAATAAAAAATAGATAAACTGCATTAACAAATATTAAAAAATTATGCAGGCCGTTCCCGCAGCCTCGGTCATCACCCAACAATGTCACCTCCGATTGG